AAAAAAAAAAAAAAAAAAAAAAAAAAAAAAAAAAAAAAAAAAAAAGGAAAAAAAAAGAATATGGTCTGAAAACAAGAATTTGAAAGGTAGCTCTAGTTCCCTTGCACAGCTCTTTGTGAAACAGCAACTGAAGAGACAGTAGAATTCTCTACAAACCTCTTGAGCAACAGCTAGGATCTAAAAGAAGGGAAAATCTCACCCGAGGTCACTCCAAATGCCCAAGCTGTGCCAAAAAGGTTACAGTCAAGATTCAAATTCATCATGAAGGACATGATCCAGAACACATCCCTGTATTATACCTATAGTATAGAATAGGGGTCTCCAAGCCCCAGGCCACGGACCCATAATGGTTCGTGGCCTTTTTAAGGACTACAACAGGAGGTAAGCGGCAGATAAGCAAGTTTTACTGCCTGAACTCCACCTCCTATCAGATTGGTGGCAGCATTAGATTCTCATACGAGCACAAACCCTATTGTGAACACTGCATGCAGGGGATCTAGGTCGCATACTCTTTATGAGAATCTAACTAATGCCTGATTATCTGAGGTGGAACAGTTTCATCCCGAAACCATCCCCACCACCCCATGGAAAAACTGTTTTCCACAAAACCACTCCCGGGTGCCAAAAAGTTTGGAGACCGCTGATATAGATGGCTCAGATAAAAAAGTTTTTAACAACTGATATACCACTGATATAAATCCTTTGTTAAATAGGGTTATTACAATTGCAAAATGTATGCAGCCAATTTCAGCAATAACCAAAGGAAGCTGACACTCTGTCTCCACAATTAACATACAGGAAGACTAGCAGAGAATCTACGCTCTTTTTTACTCAGTCTCTCACATTCCAGAAACAGCCATTAAGTCCCATCTATCCTTACTACTAGCCAAACTATTCTTACTACTGACAAACACAAGCAAGTTTCATGAATATAATGTTTTTAAAAACTAACTTTGATAGACTTTTTTAAATGAGGTAAAATCTTGATTTCAGCATCCCCTCCACCCTCTCTCTTCTTCTTTAAAAGTAGAATAAAAGGACTAGCAAAGAAATGGTAGCCAAAAAAGTAGTCAATGCTTGAATGTAAATAAAATTTTACCTGACTGTTGGAATCTCCAAACAGGATACACAAATGTGGTACCAACTTGCTGATGACTAGTGGCTGAGCCCCAAAACTAAATATAATTTGAGAAAAAAATAAAAAGAATTTGTTTTTAATAAACAGTAAACAAAATATCCTTATGCTCTCTTCTTGTCTGTAGCAATATGACATATGGTGGGGAGAATGGGCACACATCATTAAAACATGAAGGATATGAGACACAAGCAAAAAATAATTACAAGCAATGTGTAATACGCAAACTTGAATAATCACGACAGTGAAGACAATACATCATCCAATAGATAAAAATGTTCAACAATGGCACTCTTAAACCTAGCAATCCATGAACAACTTAAGAAAATCCGAGTTTTCACTTTTGAAATTGTGATTTTTTTTAGACTCTGGGTCTCAAATAAATGCATTCCCATTCAGTAAGTTAAAAGATCTTTAAGCTTATGGCAAGAGAGCCAAAACCCAGTGCAAAGAGCTATGCAGACTGAGTACACTTATAGGCTCCAGAGGGCAGAAAGGACTATAGAGTAATAAATGAAAATATAGTTAAGAAAAGGAAGTAACACTATAGGAAAAGCTGAAAGCTACTACATATAACCTATGACATTGCGTAAAACCTAAAAAACTAATCCAGAGCAAGAAAAGTCCTAGTTTACACTTTTTCAGATCAGAGTCACAGTTCTGTGGCAACTATGGCAGCCAGAACTCTATACACAGCTACCAGTCTCACTGTCTAGTTACCTGGGAAAGTTTTGCTTGGTCTACGATTCTGGTACCCACCCACACTGCTCTAGGGGGAGGATGGGGATGGGAAATGGTTATAATATGTGAAATATCATTGAATTAAAAACAATTCCAAATTCGATCCAGAACAGAAATAGATAGTAAGGTATTGGCATATCAGTTCCATGGCCATCTGTTTTGGGTGGCTACGACTAACATATTAAAGAAAAAAAGAGAAACACTTAATACTGATATAACTGAAAAATTAAGAACATGAAAGATAGTAACATACATAAAAAATGAACAGTAAAGGTATCAAATAAAAAGTTAAATGCTTTAATAACAATTTTAAATATGTCATTACCCATAGCTTTCCTTGACCTTGTGAACTGAGGTTTTTTTTTTTTAAGAGAAATAAAAACCAAGACAGCTATTTTCACGAGATCGAAAATTCTTGTGTTTAAAACCAGAAGCCAACTGCTCCCAAATGTACTATTTGAAAGAAAAGTAAAAATGTATAACAAAAAATTAAATTATTCATGTTACAATCTTTTACTTCTTCCCAATCTTACTACCAACCTTACTGGTAACTGAATATTTTCATCAGACTGTTGTTCGTTTCTCCACTACTTACAAGTTTTTCTAAGCCAAATTACAAAACTGCTCTTAGCCATTTTCATTACTTTAATCAAATTTTGTTACTTATATATATTTCACTTTAGATTTTGATTATTCTCAGAAGAACCATGTCCAACAACTGAAAACCTTAGAATTTCCAAGGACACAGATTTCTTCTATGATTCAGAAACCTTCAATGACAATGCTACCATTACAAGTCCAGCAGTCCAGTAAGTATTTAAGTGGTCCAACACTGCCTAGTAACTAATATAGACTCACATGGAACAGGCCTTTCTTTTTTTTTTTGGACATTTTATAATTCAGACTTTTTTCCTTTTAATACTGGATTCAAATACATAAATGTATTTGGGCAATTCATTTTGTAGCTACCTACCATACTTTTCTTTTAGAAAAAGCAGAGATAAACCTACACCAATAATTCAAACCAAGTATTTTGGGCGTAACAAGAAATCCAACTTTATTTTACCAAACATAAAGCCAACTGGACCAATCAATCCTTTCTCCACATTTGGAAACACCACTTTTACCATTTACTAAATTCATACACACAACATACACAGCTATCCTCTTTCTATACTCAGTATTCTTTCTGGAGTCTGTATTCAGTTCTACTAATGTATTTCTCTCTCCCAACCAAACTTTCAAGAAGGTGGCTTAAGAAATTACAAAAAAAAAACTAACAAAAACAAACAAACAAAAAACTTAAATGTGAATAACCTGACTCACCAATACTACCTCTGGAATGTTATTCTATATAAATACGTACATTTATGTTCAAAGATACATGTAATAGGGATGCCCCCTACGATACTGTTTGTAATCACAGAAAGCCAAAACCAACCTAAAATGTAAATGAATAAACAAGTGTGGAAGAATATCCACCACAATATTAAAAAAAAATAGTTCTGAAATATAAAATACTTGGGAAACACAGTAACCACCTGTGAAAAAATTTTCTTCTAGTCTCTGTAGGAGTTGCAGAAATGAACAATACAGCATTCAGTAATTCTCAAAATAAGCTTTCTCAATAAACATTTTTTAATTTACAAAAAAGAGAAACCAGAAAATCCTAAAGTATAATATAATCCATACACCGTCAAATCACTGAAATCTATTAGTTAGCTTTGTAAAAACGCATTAAAGGGTACAAAATAAGAATAAGAAGCAAAAAAACAGAAAGTCAAACACTGACACTGTATCTTAAATGTCAGCTTCTTAAAAGCATTAGCAACAAATCACTGTTTAAAATTTCAGTGTTCATGGTTGCTGTGGTTTTAATGACTTGCTATGATTACTATTAGCAAAATCTAAATTTTAAAATGTAGGCTTACCATAGGTGGTGCTACTTGATCCATTAACTTCAGCATCAGAGTCTGCGCTTCCTCTCGAACCTTGTCTTTGGCATCTCCCATTCTGTCTATTAAAGCTACAATAACTAAGGGAGGGGAGGCAGTAAAAGAGTAATTACTTATAACTCATCTCCATTAAAAACCGTATTTTACAAAATTACAAATAGCAATTGTTTCCATAAATGAAGAGTTGTGAAGTAAAGAAATTGTTTTAAGTTCTTTTTCAATAAAAAAAAATAACTGAGAAGTTTCAAAAGAATACATGCAGCATGATACTCCTTATAATAATGTTCAAAAAACAGGCAAAACTAAGTATCATTTTTCTTAGAGAAATGTATACATGAGGGGACAAGGAGGAAGTCGACTTCAGAGGGTACAGGTTCTAAAGTCGGTTCATAGGGCAAAAATAACACATAGTCAAAATCATCTTCCCGTAATCCCTTAAATTACCACTACCATTTAGTGTGGTCTCATCAGGTATGTGACCCTGGACACATTATTTAACCACCTTTTGTCTATTTCCTCAGCCATAAAGGTGGTTAGCAGTCCTTTTTCAGAGGAGTATTGAAAATTTAAAAACAATACAAACAAAGAGTAAAAGGCAGAGTAAGCACTTTCTATAATATGTCACCTACTATCACTATCACTATCATCATGCTGCATGTTCAAAAGCAAGAGAACTTCCCTTGTTTCTCTTCTGATATTACAGCTATACAGTAGTCCCTTTTTATCCACAGCTTTACTTTCTGTGGTTTCAGTTACCCATGGTCAACTGTGATCTGAAAATATTAAATGGAGAATTCTAGAAATAAACAACTCATAAGTTTTAAATTGTGCGCCGTTCTGAGTAGCATGATGAAATCCTGGGCTGTCCCGTTCCATTTGGTATGGAATGTGAATCCTTCTTTTGTTCTACATATCTGCACTGTTTACATTACCTGCCTATTCGTCACTTAGTAGCTGTTTCAGTTATCAGATCAAAAACACATAGCATGTATAGTAGCAGTCCCCAACCTTTTTGGCACCAGGTACTGGTTTTGTGGAAGACAATTTTTCCACAGTGGCGGGGGGCGGGGCAGGATGGTTTTGAGATCAGGCATCATAAGGAGTGCACAACCTAGAACCCTCACATGCACAGTTCACAATAGGATTCATGCTCCTATGAGAACTAAATGCTGCGGCTGATCTGACAGGAGGTGGAGCTCAAGTGGTAATCCTCATTGCTGGCCACTCACCTCCTGCTGTGCAGCCCAGATCCTAAGAGGTCATGGACTGGTTTGGACTATCGGAGGCTTCAGGAATCCACTGGGGGTCTTGGAACACAGCCCCTGAAGATAATGGGGGACTACTACATAGCTTTCCTTTCTCTGAGTCAATGGAGGACTAAGTCTAGTTTAAACAAGGGAAGGAGAAAGAAATGAGATCAAGAAAGAAATATTTCTCTAGTTTATTTATAGACACATATAATTGTGTATATAATCTGAGGCCAACATATTATCTATAATGCAATAACCCAAACTGATGTAGTAATGAACAACAAGAGTCAAAGAAAAAGAAATTACATTCTTCCTGGGGAAAAAAATGACTCGAGTGAGAAGGCAACATACCAAATGGAAAGATATCATCCAAAAATCTTAAGCTTAATCAAGGAAATATCCTCACCATAAAAATCATAGGTCTAATTATGAGGCAATGTTCATCAATGGAACAATATAGATTCTTCTCATCCTGTTTGGATGTATTGTTAACACTAGAGGAATTTATCAACATCTATAAGGTTGGCCATTATGGGATTCTGGTTCTGATAGCTTCTGAAAGGCAGAAGACAATAGTAAACACTTAACAAATGTTAGATATTACTATGCACTAACCACCGAATTAATTATCTCATTTAATCCTCACAACAGTCCTATGAAAGAGAGTAGGCCTATTTGGTAGAGAAGGCATAGCAGGATTAAATAACTTATCCAAGGTCACACAAACAACAAGTAGTGAAACCAGGTTTTAAATAATCTATACTGGCTGGGTGCAGCGGCTCACACCTGTAATCTGTGCATTTGGGGAGGCAAGTAGATCACTTGAGGCCAGAAGTTCCAGACCAGCCTGGCCAACATGACAAAATCCCATCTCTACTAAAAATATACAAATTAGCCAAGCATGGTGGTATGTGTCTGTAGCCCAGCTACTCGGGAGACTGAGGTGGGAGGATGGCTTGAGCCCAGCAGGCAGAGGTTGCAGTGAGCTAAGATCATGCCACTGCACTCCAGCCTGGGCAACAAAGTAAGACCCTGTCTCAAAAAACAATAGCAAATAAATAAATATCTATATAATGTGAAGTCACAGTCATAACCATCTTCATTTACTTATAATTTGAGGTGTTTGGGTGTATGTGTATATGTTAACAACCATGTAACAATAATGGAAAAATAAGTCGCTTCATTCCTGAGAGGTGAAATTTAACTCCAACAAGAAAATTCAAATGTTGGCTCCAACAGAGATTCACTTCAATGTTAAAAACCATTTTACGAAACATAAAAACAAAAAACCTCACATTACATAAAGTTAGTATTGCAGCTATTAATTTAAACAAAAAATTCACACTGTTTTTCCACTGGAATTGCTTTTCAACACATACTACCTTGGAGTCAAATAGAACAAAATTGTATTCCTAACTCTACCAGTTATTAATTATAAAACAGAAAATTTCCTGAACTTCAAAGTTTCCTTGTCTGTAAAATACGGGAGGATGACAGAACTATATCTCACATGACTAGTGACAGGATGAAGTAAAATAAGGAAAAAGCACCTGTGCCAAGCCCATGATAACTGAATTATCATTCAATATGATGAACATTCAACAAATATTTATTGGGTATCCAGAACAGAATTTTTCACTCAATAGGCTCTCCATATGAATGTGTTAAACAAATGAATCAATCTATGACAGACTGGAATTTGGACAATGAGACATGGAAGAAGGTTGAATCATAACTCTTAATATTTTTTTTTTCTTTTAGCATTGTACAAGATGCAAACCATTTACCGGGTCGCCTAACTATTCTTGTATTCCTTCTACAATAACATTTTGGGTTAAAATTGTTTAAAATTTTAGAACAGTTTATAAAATTTGTAAGATATGAGATCCTTTATGACTCAGTTATAGAACCAGGGCTGGTGATCAACATTAAATATACATTGTATATTTTTTGTTTGAAAATTATATTTTTCCACAATATATGTGGGTCACGAAAGGAAACTAAAATATTTTCTATTATTAGTACTATGCATATATATAGATTATATATTTAAGAATTACATTAATAGAGCTTATAATCTTTTTGGAACTGTATCTATAACCGAAAATGAATCTCAATTTTCCTAAAACACTTTTCACTTTTAACATAAAAGAACATTAAAAATACCTATAATGATAGCTAATAACCCAAGTGCACCAAAACTAAACATTATTTTTCAAATCAAGTTATATTTATCTAGAGTTAGAGTATCAAAAAACCTTCAGAACATATTCAATTCAACTCCTTTTTACAGAAAGATTCCTAAAGTGATTTGGCTAAGTTCTGTAATAGAGATAAAACCAAAACGCTAACCCTGGGATTCTTAGTCCAGTTCCTTACCTCTCTAAGAGCATACAGATATGCTGCCTATCTTGCAGAGTTGTTCTACAAATTAGAAATGGTGTGAGAATAATCGTGAGAATAATCTTCCATGTATGTGAAGTAGTAAAAGAGTAAAAAGTAAACAGGTAAAAATGGGTAAAAAGTAGGCATTCAACTAATGATAGCAAAGCTGTAATAAAATTTTCCTATTATACCACACTGACTCTAAAGAAATAACAAGTTCAAGTTTCATTAAGGACAATGATGAGCACTTATGATTCAAAGTGAAAACAATACTGACAGTAAATGCATAGGGATAACTGGAAAGAATAGGAGATTAAAAGAAAAAACTACACGTATTAGAGTGTATGAACACATGTCATCTACTTGCACAAACACAAGTGAAAAACGCTAACAAAAGCAAATCGATGTAATGTATTAAGTACTTAATTGTATAAGAATCACAGAGTAAAGAAAAATTCAGTGTAGGGTGAGGTTAACCTGAAAATCCCTCAGATTCTCAAATTTGAAGTACATTTTTAGAAGGGAAAGAAAGGACCATGAGGAAGAGATTTCAAAAAGAAATAAGGGCACAGCAGAGGCATAAACAACTTAAGCTAGACCTAGAAAGACTGAGCAAGTTTCTGATTAGCTTGGAGTGGAGACAAAGTACTTGCTAAAGATTACAAAGAAAAAGTCTACTGAGATGGAGAAGGAACACATATGGTAAAAGACAGCATAAGAGAAGTAAGTTCTGAAAGCAAGACAGTGTTAGGAGTCAAACTAGAATTCTGATCCCAATATTCTCAATGCCTCAATATGAGCAGTCAGTACATACAACCCCATGTGGTCCTCCTGGTGTCTGAAAAATAAATAAGATACATAATACCTAGAATTACTCTTAAGTCTAAATGTTCTCTGTAGCAATTAATAACAGGGAGCTACTACAGGGCAAGAGTCACAGACACAAATGTCTATGGCCAGGGAGACACAGGAAATGCTAAAATTAAGCCAGTTTAAGAAGTGCAGTATTCCAACCTTGCCATATTATACCCAACTTTCTCAGTGACGAAGAGACAAGAGGATTTAGGGGGCGACAGGTTTTATGAATTAGAAAGATCATCACCTAGACACAAGAGAAACTACAAAGCAAATTCTTATCAGGGTTACTACATTGGCCAATTTCTTGAGACAAGCCAGAAATACAAATTTTCATGTAAAACTTCTCAATTTTAAACACTGATTCAAAATATTTTAAGAAAATACAGGCTGGGCACGGTGGCTCACGCCTGTGGTCCCAGTTACTCAGGAGGTTGAGGTGGGAGGATCGCTTGACTGTTGAGGAGGCTAAGGCTGTAGTGGGCAATAATTATACCACTGTACTCCAGCCTGGGTGACAGAGCAAGATCCTGTCTCAAAAAAGAAAAAAAAAAAGGAAAGAAAAGAAAGAGACAGAGACAGTGAGAGACAGACAGAGAGAGAGAGAAAACATAAGCAAGTAAAATGCTTACAGAGCAATTTTCAATATCTACTATAAAATTTCTTTTATAAGAGACACAGGTGTACCCTGTTGCCCATGCTGAAGCATGGTGGTGCAATCTTAGGTTATTGTAACCTTGAACTCCTGAGCCCAACCTCCCATCTCAGCCTCCAGAGTAGCTAAGACTACAGCCATACACCCCTATGCCTGCTAATTTTTTTTTTCTTGTAGAAACATGGTCTCACTATATTGCCCAGGCTGGTCTCAAACTCCTGGCCTCAAGCAATCCTCCTACCTCAGCCTCCTGGCGTTGGGATTACAAGTGTAAGCCAGTGAGTCCCCTGGCCTACTAACAGTAAAAAAAAAAAACTTTTCTGAAAATATTAACACAAAAGATCAAGTGGAATCAGGTGTTGATTAAAACTAAATAATAAAGATAGGAAACCCCACCAGATGCTTCTGTTGAAAAGATAACTAGGAAATAAAAGAAAAAACTGACAGAATGGTAAGTAGCATACCAAACATGAAGAAAAAACTTAACCACAGATATAAGAAAGTGTGATGATATACTAATATTAGGAGGCATTAACTTAATCCACAAAAGAAAATCACTGGCCAGGCATGGTGGTTTATCCCTGTAATGCCAATGCTTTGGGAGGCCGAGGTGGCAAGACTGCTTGAGCCCAGGAATTCAAGACAAGCCTGGGCAACATAGCAACACCCTGTATCTATTTTAAAATATGAAAGAAGAAAGCAAAGAAAAATCACTAATATCTGAGGCTACCCTTCTATATGCTATATAATGCTGCTGTATCATAGGATCAAACCCATTTATAATATACTCTAATGATACATGAAGGTCATTTAGGTTTAGAAAATAAGTCAGAGCCAACTTTGTAATCCTAATAACTATACAAAGCTGAGCATTATCCTACCATATGCACTATACTACAAACAAACTGTAAGTAAGTGCTATTCACAGCATGATCAGCAGCCTAGGATCTATTGACTGTCTATGACAGGGAAATTTAGAGTACTTACGAAATGTTTTTGAGGCAATTTAACCAAAGACATTTTGTTTGTTGCATCTAATGATTAAAAAAAAAAGGGGGGGGGGGCCTTTTTTTTTTTCCTGTAATCTATTTTATTGTATTTTATAAAATATTGGTCTGCAACATGCTGGCAATGAAGAAACTGACCCTTCCCCACAGAGAGTCTGAAACATGGCACTGTAAGTTATATTGCAGATCTTAGCATTTCACAAAACAGTAAAAGATCCAGTTAAATTTTTTTTTTTTTTTTTGCCTCAAGGGTGATTTAAGTAGGCTTAAAATCTTTTCTTTTCTCTGGGTAAACTGAAATGCTAAGTAGCTGATCTCTGGGTTATATAAAATTTCTTTTTTTTTTTTGAGACAGATTCTTGCTCTGTCACCCAGACTGATCTCAGCTCACTGCAAACTCCGCCTCCTGGGTTCGAACAATTCTTCTGCCTCAGCCTCCTGAGTAGCTGGGCTTACAGGTACATGCCACCATGCCCAGCTAATTTTTCTATTTTTAGTAGAGATGAAGTTGTGCCACGTTGGCCAGGCTAGTCTCGTACTCGGACCTGTGGTGATTCACCTGCCTCAGCCTCCCAAAGTGCTGGGATTACTGAAATTATATTTTTAAATTTACAGAGAACAATTTCTGTTAAACAAAAACTAAGGAAAAAGGTCATCATGTTAAATCTTATTTAGAATTGTAAATAAATAAGGTTAACTTACCCATTGCTACATAGGATCTAAATCGTGTTGATAATTTGTCCACAAAGGCACTTAAAATTTCCAATCCCATTAATGACACCTACAGATAAAAAGGGATTTTAATGAATATAAATTACTGATGCATATTTTAATATCAGTATATAATTTTTAACATACAAAAGATATTCATAAATATATTGCCATATTTTTTAAAAATGAGATTTAAGTTGTCAAGGGTAAATAGTCATGAGGTTGGAGCATCCTAATCTCAAATGGTTCAACAATATACACAACAATAATAATGTGTACATAGGAAGACAGCGATAAAGCATATTTAGCACAATGCTAAATGGTAAATTAGACAGAGGTTACACAGGAGTTTATTGACTGCAGTCATGCCTCACTTAATGATAAGGATACATTCTAATAAATCTATCATTAGGTAATTTTGTTATTGTGCAAACATTGGAGTGTACTTACACAAACCTAGATAGGACAGCCTACTACAAACCTAAGCCATACAGTATATCCTCTTGCTCCTAGGCTACTACCTATACAGTATGTTACTGTGCAAAATACTGTAGGCAACTGTTAACACAAAAGGTAAATGTATGTGTATTTAAACATAAAAAACTTAATGCAAGCACTACAACACTGCAACAGCTATGATGTCACCAGGCAAAAGGAATTTTTCAGCTCTATTATAATCTTATGGGACCACCATTCTACATACAGTCCATCACTGACTACAATGTTGTTATGTGATATGCATAACCGTATTTGTAACTTTGAAATGTTTCCTAAATGAAACAGTTAAAAATTAAGAGCCTCTTTAATTACAGAGGCTCTTCTGTAATTAAAGGGGCTCTTATTTCATCTTCCGTCTGTGACGTAGAAACTGTAAAGAACATCCCTCTCTAACAAGAAAAAGCCCACTGGGTCTTCAAAATCATAACTCTTCTTGAATCCATCAGAAAGCTAAGGCTGAAGAATAACCAACTAACCTGAAATCTAAACAAAATCATGCGACACAGCAGTAGGTCACATGTGACAGAAGACAGGAGGAAAATGAACCCATGATATAAGTGGGTAAGAAGTACTCAGTTATACTTAACAAAACTCTTTACGACTGAGTGTGGGCTAGCATGAAAATGCAATCCCTACTAGCCACAGACACAAGGAGAACGCATACCCACTTAACAAGCTCTTTCTCCACAAATCTCCACCAGACACTCTAAGACTGAGGGCTGAGCAAGATAGTGGATAAAGTATCTCTTGGTGGTACAAGCCTGGAGGAAGGAAACAGCTGCCTGTGCAGGAAAAGCACAAAGGCTCCTAGTACCCTTGTCCTGTAAGAAACAAAAGTTTGAAGCTAAGAAATAAAAGTGTGAAGCGCCTCAGTGAAGAATATCAAACACTGTTACTACTAAGGCATAGGTAAAACTCAATGCTGTTATAAAGAGGAAGAAGATAAAAAGCTTTCTAACCCAGAGGAAGGGGCAGAAAAACATCCTGGGGCCCATATAATAAGGTCTCTAGTTGGGGAAAGCCATGGTCTTCATAAAGCCTCACCCCGGCGGGACAAGGTGGCTCACGCCTGTAATCCCAGCACTCTGGGGGGCTGAGGCGGGCGGATCACAAGGTCCAGAAATCGAGACCATCCTGGCCAACATGGTAAAACCCAGTATCTACTAAAAATACAAAAATTAGCTTAGCGTGGTGGCGAGCGCCTGTAGTCCCAGCTGCTCAGGAGGCTGAGGCAGGAGAATTGCTTGAACCTGGGAGGTGGAGGATGCAGTGAGCCGAGATCTCGCCACTGCACTCCAGCCTGGCGCCCGGCAACTGAGCGAGAATCTGTCTCAAAAAATGAAAAATAAGGGCCAGGCACAGTGGCTCACATCTATAATCCCAGCACTTTGGGAGGCCAAGGCGGGTGGATCACGCGGTCAAGAGATCGAGGCCATCCTGGTCAACACGGTGAAACCCCGTCTCTACTAAAAATACAAAATTAGCTGGGCATGGTGGCGAAGCCTGTAGTCCCAGCTACTCGGGAGGCTGAGGTAGGAGAATTGCTTTAACCCAGGAGGCGGAGGTTGCAGTGAGCTGAGATCATGCCATTGCACTCCAGACTGGGTAACAAGAGTGAAATTCGGTCTCAAAAAAATTAAAAAATAAAGAAAATTAAAACACACAAAAAAATCCTCACCCCAAGACTCAAGGACAAAAAGCTTCCTAAAACTGAAGCTGGACCAGAAAAACAAAGAATGACCCTCTTTCCCCTAACCAGACCAGCAAGCATGAAATAAGCAATAGCAGTATACCAGTGGGGAAGGGGCATGAACATAAAGAAGAATCCTCTATGAAGTCCAAGAAAATACGGAAGATCTAAAGTGCAGAGTTGAGTAGAAACTTAAGGAAAACCCTTCATAAAATTAACCAGATAACAAAAAAATCTGAAGCAAATATGAACTAAAGTAACTATAGCAATCATAACATCAAGTCCGAACTCAACTCCTGACTAGACTGACTGCATAGCTCCATGCTATATATAAGCTTAGCAGAAAAAAAGGCATGTCATTTCCAGGTACTATTTAACTTAGTCTTAAACATCTTAAATACCGTCCAATTTTCAACTATGAATTATGAGACACACAAAAAAAGCAAGAGTGGAAAAATACTACTATCAAGAATAAAGCATGGACAAAAACAAAATACATAGATAATCCAAAAGCTGGAATTATCAGAGCATTTAAATAACTATGATTAATGTATTAAATGTCCTAGTTAGAACAGCAAACAACAAGCATGAATAAAAGGAATTCCAGGAGAGAGACAAAAACTTTAAGGCAGAGTCAAATGCAAATAATAATTTTTTTTAACGCATTAAAAACAAGGTACAAGTGATTAAGATGCTTTTGATGGGTTCATCAAAAGATTTGACACAGAGAAGGAAAGAATCAGGGAACCTGAAAATACATCAATACAAATTACTCAAATTGAAATACACAGAGGAACAAAAAGAGAAGGGGAGAGACAAAGCACTCAAGAGCAGTGAAATATTATCAAGTTGTCTAACATATGTGTCATTGGAATTTTGAAGAGAGAATAAAGTAGAAGAAATATTTGGAGAGAAAATGGCCAAGAATATGGTGAAAATAATGAAAGGCATCAAACTATACGTCTAAAAGTCTCAAAGAACCCCCAAACAGAAAATTCCAAAAAACACCAAGACACATCCTATTCAAACTGTTAAAACCAAAAAAAAGAAAAATCTTAAAGTCAAAAAAAAAAAAAAAAAAAAAAAAAAAGACATTAAATACACAAGAATAGGAGACCTCCAGCCAAAAAGTATGAGTGAGGAGACAATGGAATGACACTGTTATAGTACAGTAGTCCCCCCTTATTCATTTATGTAATACATCCCAAGACCCCAGGGGATACCTGAAACCACAGACAGTACTGAGCCCTATATATAATTTTTCCTACAAAGACATACCTATGATAAAGTTTAATTTATAAATTAGGTACAGTAAAAGATTACCAACAATAAAATATAATAACCATAACAATATACTGTAACAAAAGTTATGTAAGTGTGGTCTTGTCTATCTTTTTTTTTTTGGTCTTGTCTATCTTAAAATATCATATGGTACTTATCTGTCTTGGGACTACAACTGACCACAGGCAAGTGAAACTGTGGAATGCAAAACCACAGATTATCATACTACAAAAAAAAAAAAAATCCCGTCACTTCAGAATTCTTTACCTAGTTAAAATATCTTTTAAAACTAAAGGAGAAATAAAAAGTTTTTCAAACAAACAAAATCTTATATAATTCATTATAAGAGATATGTATCACAAGAAATGTTAAGGGAAAGTCTTCTGGGAAAAAAAATACATGACAGCAGACAAAAACTTAGATCTACACTAAGAAATAACAGGAAATAGTTGAAATTAAAATAAATATTTAAAACCTTAAAAATAAGCTGGGTACAGTGGCTCATGCCTATAATCCCAGCAATCTGGGAGTCTCAGGCAGGAAGATCACTTGAGGTCAGAAGTTTGAGACCAGTCTGGCCAACATGGCAAGACCCCATCTCTACTACAAATAGAAAAATTAGCCAGGCATGGTGGCACATGCCTGTCATCCCAGCTACTCAGGAGGCTGAGGCACGAGAATTGCTTGAATTTGAGAGGCAGAGGTTGCAGTGAGCTGAGATTGTGCCACTGCACTCCAGCCTGGCAACAGAGCAAGACACTGTCTCAAACAAAAAACCTTAACAATATACATATTTAATCACTGTAAAAACAGATGCACTAAAACAAATACTAGCTCTACTGAGTTTAGTGAAGTCATAAGATAAAAGGTCACTGTAAAAAAATCAATTGTGGGCCAAGCGGGATGGCTCACATCTGTAATCCCAGCACTTTGGGAGGCCAAGGCAGGTGGATCACCTGAGGTCAGGAGTTCAAGACCAGCCTGATCAACATGGTGAAACTCCATCTCCACTAAAAAATAAAAAATAAAAAAATTAGCCAGGCATGATGGTGGTTGCCTGTAATTCCAGCTGCTTGGAAGGCTGAGGCAGAAGAATCACTTGAACCTGGGAGGTGGAGGTTGCAGTAAACTGAGATCATGTCATTCCACTCTAGCCTGGGTGATAAGAGCAAAATTCCATTTCAAAAAAAAAGACAGGGCGCAATGGCTCATGCCTATAATCCCAGCACCTTGGGAGGCCAAGGCAGGCGGATCACCTGAGGTCAGGAGTTCAAGACCAGCCTAACCAACATGGTGAAACCCATCTCTCCTAATAATACAAAAATTAGCTGGGCGTTGTGGCAGGTGCCTATAATCTCAGCTACTTGGGAGGTGGGGGCAGGAGAATCGCTTGAACCTGGGAGGCAGAGGATGCAGTGAGCCAAGATCATGCCATTGCACTCCAGCCTGGGCAACAGAGTGAGACTATCTCAAAATAAATAAATAAAGTGTTCCTACATACCAGCACTCAACAATTGGGAATTTTCAAAAATACTATATCATTTACAAAACTAACAACAGTCACAAAATACTTAGATATAATCCCAACAAGTCCACTATCT